AATTTGGTTATTCCATTCTTTCTATGTTTCATGATTTTTTTTTTTTAAATAACTAAAACAAATTTTAGGCTGCTTATTAAATATCAATATTCTATATATAAGTTTGGATTTCTATAACCAACAGGCCACTAACCTGAGTCATTTTAAGTGTTAACCATATCACAAATGAAGTCTTTTTTTAATCTATTCTTTTATTTGTTTTGAGAATATGATGGAATTATATAATTGTCAAATGGGTTATCCTCCATACTTTGCTATCATGGGCTAGGTTTGCTAACTTGTCCATTTGACCTTGCCTCTATTCCGCTATATGCGGTGGATAAGGTATTTTAGAAAGCTAGCATACCAAAAATAAAAGATATAAGAATTAAAACGTAATGTTTAATGGTTTAAGTGGATTGACACCTACGAAGTAATTTGCCAAAGACATCGTGTGTATATGTACATGGGAACCTTATTATTAGGCAATTAAGGAATATGTTTTTAAACCTTTTTAGGAAATAATTAGGAATTTTAATGTTACCCACTAATATGAAATGATGATATTTGATCAGTCCAAGAGGATTTGAGCCTGACTACATACAATTGAGGCTGGTCCAAGTTGGTGACCGGTGGATTGTTGTGACAGGATCAATTATTCATCTAGGTTGGATGATATTTATGGATGATGATTCTAATGTCATTGAAGTGTGTTTGTCTCGAACAAATGATGGTGGATACTTACAAGGTACTTGAACGAGCATGTTAGTATTTGAGTGATGAGTTTAAATAAATTGGAGAAAGAATTTGATCATACTTGAACTTTGAACCTCTTTTTTATAATAGTAGTATAACCTATTTATTGCCTTGCTATGCCACTTTAGCATGGCAGCCTGTGTTCTAATTAATTGATAGATTATGGTGACTTTGTTCGCCTATCTCGTTTGCGAGATATCTTTTGGTAAGCTACAATATATAAGCTTACTTGAAATATAGTATTTGTCATTTAGCCTTTGGCTATTAAGGAGACTTATAAACTTTCTGTTGTTGTCAGTCTAACCGTACATTACTAGAATTGCTTATACGTGTGATATATATGTCCTTCTCGACAAAGTTTATGTCATTGGACCTTTGGATTGTTATTGGATTTGATTTTTATCTTACTCAGTATGAGTCCATATCAATATTATAAGAAAAATAATGGCATAATTCTTATTATAATAATATTTATATAAAATTCATTAATTTTATTTTTGTAATTTTTTTATCATAACGTGATCCTCCTCTTATGTTGTTGAGTATGATGGTAGATTAATCCTCGTGTGATTGCACTTTGATGTGGGAAGAAAGTCAGTTACCGTCACATTTTCTTTATATATTTCAACCATTGTTATTGTTTTAATTTTCTTTCCTATTTCGTTAAGCAAACTTAGGGAAAATGAAAAGACAGCTATGTTTTAGGAATAAAGCAAAGAATCTCCAGTTAGTTTCAACTTTCAAGTGCTTGGGAAGATTCCAAGTGATTGTGACTTCAATGGTAGCCAGAGAAAAGGGATTTAAGCTTATGGCTGCAAACATTAGAAGGATCAACCTCACTTCACTCTGAGTAGACTCCTTAACATCACAGAACTAGCTAGTAATATTGGAAGTGGCAACTTGTACATCCAAATAATGGGAAGCACCTCTTGATTTATTCGCATATGCTGATGTATGATCTCTGGCAAAGCAGGAACAGCCATGCATATTTGATATTTAGTCCTTTGGGGGCTTTAAAAGTCATCTTCTGCGTTTGGTTATTGTAATTTTCAACGCTGACACAAATAATTTTGCTTTGTTTTTAATATTCGGACATAATAATATTTGTACATTAAAAATATGTGTATTATTTTTACATCACCCTTTTTATATAAAAAAAATAAAAAGACACTTTCTTTTTTATATATACATATATATATATATATATAGGGTTTTATAAATCTCATTCAACATGAGAATTGAATTCTCATGTTGTAGAGACAAAAAGCATGTGGGACCCGTATGTAAGAAAAAATTATGTGTAAAACTCACGTTGGCACGGAAATCGAAAGGTGTGTAGGAAAATTCAAATTCTCATGTTAAATGAGAATTATAAAATCCATATATATATATATATATTTTTTTTTTTTTCTAAGCAAGTAAAGTATGCGAATATAATTACTCTATTAAACTTGAATTATGAACGTTATACCAAAAGCAGTACGTGAATATCATTACTCTATTTACTGAGTTTGATCGTCTTCATTGATCTTACAAAGGGCCTACTTTGTGAATGAAAAATTGATTGATGAATTTGTCTGCTTCTTACATCTCATATTTACATAATACGTGTGGTTAAGATGGGTGTACGATTTTAAATAAAAAAATATAAAATTTTCATTATATTGAAAGATCTACGACATTTATTAATGCATTAATTTGCATTACCGTATTCATAACAAAGCGTCTATTTTTTTATTTTCCAGGAGAATCATATAACCTCTATTTTTTTTTTTGGGTGATATCATATAACCTCTATTAGTTATAACTGTACGACAACAAATAAAGTTTTATGATAAGAAGACAACATTAACACGATTTCAACTTTAATTAAGGAGTGCTATTAAAATCTGACTGAAAATTGTCTTAAACAAATCAACGGTATAGTTGGTAGATACCTGAGTCTCTTAAAAATGATAATAAATAATAAATTTTGTTTATAAAGGCAAAATTCACATCAGTAATCCTTATGTCTCGATAAAATTAGTCTTCAATTATCCGCCGAAGAATATATACCTTAAGTTATACTCGAAAAAATTATCTTAAACAAATGAAGAGAATTTCCAATGGATATATATATATATATATATATATATATATATATATATATATATATATATATATAGATAGGATCATTTGACACCGGTGTCAAATTTTAAGTTTGACACCTCATCTGAGAGCCGTTAGATTGAAAAGGATCAATGGTGTCACATGCTTATAAATCAGAGTCGTTGATCTTTTTCGATTTAACGACTCTCAGATGAGGTGTCAAACTTCAAATTTGACACCGGTGTCAAAGGATCCTGCCTCATATATATATATATATATGAGTTTTATAAGAGTTATGTTGTAGGAAAAGTGATTGTACGATGTTATAGAGATTTCTTTTGCGTGCCTTAGTTTTTTTTGTTTCAAAAAGTGCGGCCCCACAAAATATTGTGTGTGTAAAAATTTTTTTTGTGTCATGTTGCATGATGAATGCAAATCCCTATATATATAAATATATGAGTTTGTTTTTTCTAAAGTTACTTTAGATAACTTTATCTCATGTTTATCTAAACGACGTCGTTTTGGGACGAAAATCATGATATTTTTGTAATTTAAATTTATTTCAGAGTTATAATAGTCTTTATCATTCTAATTTTTTAACCCTAAAACGACGTCGTTTTGATGAACATTAGATAAAATTATCTAAAGTAACATTAGATACTTTTTCCCCTATATATATATATATATATATATATATATATATATATATTAAATGACATAAGTTATGTTATTTTAAGAGAAAGATAGATACAAGGAATGGAAATCATGAGAGAGAAAGTGAGTGATTTTTTTTAATTTAAATAAAAAATATTTTCTTGTGTCTATCTCTATCTTAAAATGACATAACTTTGTGTCATTCAAAATGACAAATATTTTCTCTCTCTCTATATATATATATATTGAAGTATATATATTGAAGTAAGTTACTAACTCGCATTCATGTCGGTGAGATATATGACTTTGTACATATCAATCTAAAATATCAGACTGCGAACCAAACTCCTTTGGCATAAGTGGTAAGGAGTCTGAGTCCCTTAACCAGAGGTCTTGAGTTCGAGCACTGAGAATGGAAAAAAAGAATTTGGGAGAGCTGCTCCTGAAAGGGTCCGACAGTGAAATTAATCTTCGGTTACAACTGGAGGATACCCTTGAGATTACTCAAAAATAAAAATAAAAATATCAGAGTGCGTATATTGTTTAGCTGTAAGTATACTTTATACCAACTTAACCAAATAATGAATCCTGCGTTAAATCTAAAATGAAAAGCTACAATGAAATGTCCCCTTATATCATAGCACCATTCCTATTCCCACCTAGAGCCAAACCAAACACCCACGAATCTTATTTTGGTTTGACTTTAACTGTCCAGTATTTCGGGAATACCGATCAAAATGTCACTTTTCACGAAATTTTTTATTTAAATGTTACGCGAATAGTATTATTTCTCAATATGTCATGTGGACAAGTTTGCTGGACACTATAACAAACTCAGTTTGCTGACGTGTCACATTTTTAGTGGATAACAAGTACCAAGTTAAAAAAAAAATAGTACCAAGTTGGCTACATTGGCGCGAAGTTGGTTGAATTATGTATTTCAACCAAGTTCGTTACCCCATGTATTAAACTTGGTGTCCACTTAAAATGCGACACGTCAGCACTGAGTTCGCTACAATTTCCAACGAATTTGTCCACGTAACATATTGGAAAATAACACTATTCACGTAATATTTAAGTAAAAAACTTGATGAACAGTGATATTTTGACCACTGTTACAGTATTTCATTGGTATTTTAGTACAATCCTTCTTGATCCCACACGCCCTTCATAAAGCGGCGCGAATCCACATAACGCCCCAGAGAATATGCCACGTGTACCCTGATCCTTTCCCTTTTTAACTAACCTCAGTTATTTTATAACCACCTCGCGCTCTAACCCTAGTCTAAGCTATATATATTCATTTCTCTCCATTTCCTCCGTTCTTCTTTTCTTCTAAACAAGTACCATCTGAAAATTTCAATTTCCTCGAAACGACGTCAATTCTGGAGAGCCTGCAACAAAACCCTAGCCTCACAAAAATCTCGTAGCTCTCTTTCTCCGGCGAATGTGATATTCATTCGCCACCTTGCATGAGCGTTCGTTCTCGCATTTGCCATTTTCAAGAAGCTGAAGAATAACCAATGGCAGAGGAGAGGAAGTTCTGCGTCGGGTACGCGCTCGCGGCGAAGAAGCAACGCAGCTTCATCAGGGACTCGCTGGTGAGCCTCGCGAGATCTCGTGGGATAGACCTTGTCCGGGTCGACCCGAACCGGCCGCTGGCGGATCAGGGTCCATTCGATTGCGTCCTCCACAAGCTCAATGGTGACGAGTGGAAGCAGCAGTTGAGGGAGTTTACGGCGAAGTACCCGAATGCCGTGGTCCTCGACTCGCCGGAAGCGATCGAGAGGCTCCACAACCGGATTTCCATGCTGCAGGTGGTGTCGGAGCTGGAAACCGATGACCGGAACGAGGTCTTCGGGATTCCAAAGCAGATTGTCATATACCACGAGGAAACTCTGTTCGATTGCCGGAACTTGGAGACGCTGAAGTTTCCGGTTATTGCGAAGCCGTTAGTGGCCGACGGTAGCGCCAAGTCACACAAAATGGCGCTTGTTTTCAAGCATGACGGTTTGAAAGAGCTGAAGCCGCCGATTGTGCTGCAGGAGTTTGTAAACCATGGCGGCGTAATCTTCAAGGTGTACGTGGTTGGGGAGCACGTGAAGTGCGTGAAGAGGAAGTCCTTGCCGGATGTTGAGGAGGACAAGTTGGCGGGGTTTTCGGCGGACTTGTTGGCGTTCTCGCAGGTGTCGAATTTGGCCATCCATGAGAGGATTGATGATAAGTACTATAAGATGATGCATTTGGATGACGCCGAGATGCCTCCCCTGAGCTTCATTACCCACATAGCTATGGGTTTGAGGGATGTGATGAAGCTGAACCTATTTAACTTCGACTTGATTCGAGACTCTAGATGTGGGAATCGGTACCTTATCATTGATATCAATTACTTCCCCGGGTATGCCAAAATGCCCGGTTATGAGACTGTTTTGACAGACTTTTTCTGTGATGTGTTGTGCAAGAAACAGGAAGGAGATGCGGCAGGGAGTCCAAGCGAAAAGGACTGTTCTGAGACTACTGGTTTTGATAGGTGTTCGAATCTGATGCACGGTTGTGACAAAGATATGAGAAAGATTCTAAGCAATACTTGTTGCGGTGATGAGGATGAGGGTAACCTTCAAGTCTCGCCTCTTGGCATGGAAGAGAAAGAGTGTTCTGTTCAAGTATGAAAATCTGTATTTGAATAAGGTGTATCTCATTCTATCATACTATCATTAATTGGTGCTTTTTTGGGTAACCAGAATTTGCTTAGTGGACCCATTAGCCAATTGGTGGGTGGACATGAATTGCACATTCTATTTGGGTAGCAGTTGGTACAGTGGTCAAATTAGTAGGTTGTTTGTGGGCCCCTTAACATGTATATTCCATCAGCCATTGCTTTTAGAGATAGTACTTCTCTCTTTTTTTTTTGAAGCTTAAGTTCATGCTTAAGCTTTAGGTACTTCTCAAATACCCTGAAGGTTTAGGACATTTGTATTTTGAAGCTTAAGTTCATGCTAGAAACTGTTTTACTTTGGTTTTGCCTTTAACCCAATGCCTTAATTCTTCATTTTGTCAATTCTATTCTCATTTTGGATTTCTTATTCAGCGATACAACTTCCACCTGTTTGATTGATGGTTTTCTCCAGTATTTTCAATCCTGAGGTTCCTTAATTGGTATTATTTTAAATTGCTAATGAATATTTTTTTCTTGCATAAAAAAATTGCTAATGAAAATTCCTTAAAGATTATCAGAGTAAAGGAAAAAGGATGTAGACTGTGTATGCCGCCCACACCTCTTCAGCTATCTGAAGTCTGAATAGCAGCGAAGAATGCTTAAAGGTTTGGCAGAATATGATGAAACCCATAAATTATTTATGCTGACACAGGTTCAATTTTGGTCAATATACTGGATATTCAAATTTGATTTCCGATTTCATGCATTATGGTGCAAATTATTTGTTTTACTTATTTGCACATTTTATGTTTTTAACATACTGATGGGAGTTAATGCACATCTTTTTGGGTAGGATTTTGGCTTATTACCTATGCTACTATGTGAAACTTCTGTGATGAAATGTCATCAGCTTAATACATTACTCTAATTAGAGCAATGATATTAACAAACACATTAAATAATCTTTTTCCGTACAGGGAAGCTTTCATTTTTGGACCTGCCGGTGAATGTCCTGCTTGTTAGCCTTGTATATTTTTTTGATTAAAGAAGAAATTTATTAAGATGAAGAGAAAAAAATTACAAAAGAAAAGGGACGATAGTGAAATTATTAGCCCTATACATAGCTTCTGATATATGTATATCTATGCATGTTTTGTCTCGGATCACTATTCCAGGCTTCTACGGAAGTCTGGCATTTGGTTCTGACCTCTACCACCAACATATTCGGGTTAAAACACAATCAAATGCTATATTCTGTTTTCAGATGATGACACCTGTTCATTTGTGCCGCGGAGAAAAGGAAATTTTTCTTATGCTGACTTGTATTGTCTAAGGTTGTGGCACAATTTGATGGGTTGTATGAGCAATAATGCGTATTCTATATGTAAATGAAGTATTGAAACATGCCTATCTGCATTGCACTTTGAAAGAGATGTCTACTAAAGCCACGAGGAGTGAGCTAATGGTGTGGGACCGGATAATTTGCATAAGGCTATAAGTTGAATCTTAGTACTAACATTGTATTAAAAAAAAAAAAGAAACATCTAGTAATACAATTTTTTTAACTCGCAAACACTTTCAGATTGAATCTGATGTCTTTGTGGAAGTCTTAGTTTATGCTAGTTTACGCCCAATCTTTTTTAAAATGCAAACTCACTGTTTCTCTACAGAACTGTCATAGACTGGGCATTGAAGAAAATGTGCTTAGCATTAGAGCCTAGGATATGGTTAACAAACTAAATTGGACTTGCATGTTTCAGTTTTCTGTTGCCAGTTCCTGGATTGAGATGGGTTTAATGGGTTGGATATAACCTCCAACATAATGTACGGCATGGTGGTGCCTATCTCTACCATGAGTTTGTTGGCATTCTTTAAGAGGATATATTAAAAACAGATTCTTATTTGTTGATGTTGAGATATATAGTCCCACATTAGTTGTATGAGCAACTAATGTGGAGTTTATAAGGCCTTAGGCACTCCCACCCTTTGAGCTAGCTTTTGGGGTGATGACCTCAAGGTTCTTTACATGGTATCAGAGCCTCAGTGTACCGGGTTCGATCGAAATCTCACCGCCTCTCACTTTCTTTGTAGTGGAATTTCCACATATAGGTGGGCTTGTATGTTGTCCGCCCTTCAAGCCCAGTGGGCTCTCGTGTGAGGGGGCGTGTTGAGAAATATAGTCTCACATTGGTTGTATGGGCAACTAATGTGAGGTTTATAAGGCCTTGGGCACTCCCATCCTTTAAGCTAGCTTTTGGGGTGGTGTATCCCAAGGTTCTTTACATGGTATCAGAGCCTCGCCGCCCCCCATTTTCTCTTGTGGCGTTTCTTAGCACAGGTAGGCTGGGCTTGTTGCATTGTCCACTCTTCAAGCCGAATGGGCTCCCGTGTGAGGGGGCGTGTTGAGATATATAGTCCCACATTAGTTGTATGAGCAACTAATGTGGAGTTTATAAGGCCTTAGGCACTCCCACCCTTTGAGCTAGCTTTTGGGGTGATTACCTCAAGGTTCTTTACATGGTATCAGAGCCTCAGTGTACCGGGTTCGATCCTCACCGCCCCCTACTTTCTTTGTAGTGGAATTTCTTTCTTCGCACAGGTAGGTGGGATTGTGTATCATCCAATCTTCAAGCCCAGTGGGCTCTCGTGTGAGGGGGCGTGTTGAGATATATAAAATCATTAATGTAGCCTCACCCAATAGCTTAAGCTTTTGGGTTGAATTGGTTCTGATACCATGTAAAGAACCAATTCAACCCAAAAGCTTAAGCTATTGGGTGATGCTACATTAATGATTTTATATATCTCAACACGCCCCCACACACGAGAGCCCACTGGGCAAGAGTGGACGATGCATAGTCCCACCTACCTGTGCGAAGAAAGAAATTCCACTACAAAGAAAGTAGGGGGCGGTGAGGATCGAACCATGTAAAGAACTAATTCAACCCAAAAGCTTAAGCTATTGGGTGAGGCTACATTAATGATTTTATATATCTCAACAGTTGATTTGTTTGATCGGTAGTTGTCATTTTATTTTCTAATGACTATTGCCTTATGCTTATCTTTGAGTTTCATCATGCTCATGTATTGGACTTCATTATGGAGATGGGACCTCATGCTTATGTTTATACTTATACTGTACTCAATTAAGTCAGTGCAAAAAAAGAAAAAAAAATTCAATCTACTGGTCCAGATCCTCGCCCTCTTCAATTAAGTCAGTGCAAATATCATTAAAGGAATTTTATCCTTTGATTTTCTTTTTATTCAACGGAGTAATAGTATACTACCTATCTATAGTCAACAATATATTATGATGATTTTACTTCTGAAATTTTACATGTTTATTTATATGCCATCCAATGGATGGATAAAAAGGTGCTCCTATAAAGATATATCCCTGTCGAGTTGCATTTTGATGAGCAGAATTTTTTATACATTCACATGGGATTATGGATTAGAAGAAATCCGCAATCTATAAAAAATGTGGTTGTGGTGTCCTCAATTTCCTTTTGCAATGAGTTTCCTGTTTCCTTTTAAATTACTTAGTTTATTACTCTTTGCAATCCTAGACAAAGTGCCTTTTTCCCTTGGATGATTGTCGGGTCCTTTTATGTTGCAGCAACTGTATTGGGATTTTGCCCATGTGAAGTTTCATCTAGTAATGAAGTTCATGTCTTTTTTATCATTTTTTAGCTAATTTTTTCCTAATTGACAGTGAATATTTGCCCAATTTGTATGAAAACTGTTGTTATTGCCTTTTTTTTTAAGGGAGAAAAAGGAGAAGAAAGAAATTACTTGTGGGCACAGTGATGTTAAGGGTCATGATTGTAAGTTCAAATTTATAATCCAAGGTGCTGGTTGGGGGCTCCTCTCACCTGTTAACAAATATATGTTTGCCATATAGTTAAGACATGCTTGTGATGTTACCTGGTGACTCCTTTGGAGACATGATCTGCATGCATTGTATGATCTATTCTTGTTCTTCCTGTGTACGATTCTTTGTTTCAGTCCATATGGCATGGTTGATAGCTTATAATTTTATTTTCATTTAAATGCTTTTGTGTTTTTAATCTCGATTTCTCAGGATGCAAGTGTGTTGGCTGGGGCATGATTGGGGAGGGGTGGATTATTATCAGACAAACTCTTTCCCGATCTGAATTATGATGGACAACGTTATGTTATTTTCGGTTTCACTTTAATGATTAAGAGGCATGATCACTTTGTTGGGCACGCCAACCCGTAGTCTTCATTTCATTCTGGTATCATTTATGTTTGTTCATTTTCTTTTGGTCCGGTGTTTGCCTTTATTTTCGGGGCAGCGCAGATGTCTCTAATTTTGGGTCCTCCGCCTCCATTAGTGGGCTTGTGATAAAGCCATTGTTAATTACCAAGAGACAAGAGGTATTCATTGTAATCCTTGTGTCAACTACACGAAGGAGATTTCATTTATATATTAAACTAAGTAAGAAATACACACACATATACACAATGTGGGACTTCTATACTATGTACAGCAACAACCATAAATGTTTGAAGTTTAAATCATTCTGCGCCGTTCAAGTTTAAATTAAGAGACCATGATGTTGAAGTATAATAGAAGGGCAAATTGACAGTACTAAGAAACATTGGGCAAATGATTTTTCTGTTCAAAGTTGACATGGAAAGTTCTTCCACATTATAGTAGTCAAACTCGTCATATGTGCTGACAATTGTAGTTTTGTCAATATAGTTGACAACACTCTCCACGTCAGTCACGCGAACATGTGAGTCATATGAGTCTTGTCATGTTTGTTGACAAGTCTAGTCCCGTCAAATTTTTGACACGTTTAATCTAGTCACATTTTGTGACAAGTCTAGGTAAAATATTCGAAATCATCCACTCTCAATCTCTCTCTTTCGTTTTTCTCTAAATTCCTTTCTCTTTTTTTCTCCCAAGCTGCCTCATCTCCTCCTATATTGCACTGACATCGACATGGGATACGACATGACACTCCGACACGTTAATTCTAAAAATGTTAAATTTTGACACGTTAGAACATGTTTTGATATTATATAATATTTTTAATTTTTGTAGTATATATTATATTTAGTATTCAATAATTTAACAAAAAAATAAAGTTAAATTTATAATACTCATCAATTTTGTAAAGAAACATAATATATCCCAAATGTTTATATTAAACTCAATAAAATCGTAATCATAATCTAACAAGTCTAATAGTTGGAACTCAAAATGCAACGCAACATAAACTTTGAACATTCTTTGAGTCTTTGCAACGAGTATTTAAGTGTCGGTGAGTGTCGAGAAGTGTCAGACACGACACGTCAGGATTT